ACCTCCAAACCTGGCTCAAACATCAACTTGCTCCGGAGCTTATGCAAGACGTGCATACATTCTCCCACTGGGAAAGTATTGATAATTACAGGCACTCTGACTGCATCCTGATTTTACTGAGGCTTAGTTAATTATGCAGGCATTGCCCCTAAAATATGAGACAGATTGAGAAAGAGATCCAAAAGCGCACGGAGGTTCCCCTGTCTAGATGGGAGATCCACAAAATCCTCTTTGAACGCTTTGTGCTCCTGAGAGTCTGTAATTATTGCCAGTTTTTGCCTAAAGATATGCTCAAAGGCCCCACCATCTTGGTTAGATTACTGATGTCAGCATCTTATACACAGGCAATTGCATTTGGGATTCACAAAGACGACGGAGCAGTAACACAGTTCCTTAAGGGAGGATCTGCGCAAACCTAACGCAGACAGACAACACCGCATCCATTACAAATCACAGCACACCAGCCATTTACATCAGCAGCAAAGCCAGAGGAAGAGTGCCTTTACATTACAGCATACAGCAGGAGGTTTTGCTTACCTGAGCTTCCAAATTGTTACCTCCACACAAGCAGTTAGCACTAGTCAGATGATAGAGTGGGGCTAGACAGGTGGGAGAAAAAGGTTGAGTGGATGCATGGGCAGGTTGTGAGATGAAGGAAATGGATGGGGAATGAGGTGAAAATTTCATTGCAGTGGTGTGTGGTTGGAAGGCAGCAGGGACACCATTTGAAAAGTAGTGGGAGGTTTTGGGGTACAACAGGAAGATGGCTGAGAAGTGAATGGAGGCACACCGGAGGTATTCACAGGCTTACAGGCAACCAATATTCACTGCAATTGCTGTAAGTGCCCAAGCAAGTCATTGCTAATGGTACTCATGGCCACTGATGCTCCGGCCAATTTCATCGGGTCAAAATACATTTGGAAAAACCAAGCTCAGTGATTACAGCAGTCAGCAGAAACTAGGAAACCGACTGCACTTCCTCCTCAGCCCGAGGGAATGCAAACTCATAGCTTTTGGCACCAAGGTAAGCGCCTGAAACACGTGGCTACATCCTAATGAAACTGAGCTGCCATGCAAAGGAGATGGCTAGACTGATGGGGCTGGGAGCAAGCCTGTTCCTGGTGAGGATACCTAGAAGCCCAGAGTCCTGGCCTAGATCCTCGCCCCAAGCAATTCACGGGTCTCTGAACTCACCTGGCAAGACAGCGATTCCAAATGCATAAACACCACTAAGGGCTGGAAACAGAACGAGGAACTTCCCCACCCCGTGTGCTCCCTTCTCTCTTACTCATAGACAAGGCCTTGCATCTTCTTTCTCCACTGTGTCTCACCTCCAAGAGGAGAGTCGCACAGCCTCTCCTCACGCAGACGGAACATTTCAGGAATTGCAAAAATACATTGTATTTTTGCAAGGTTCACAGTGAGAAATTAGAGCTATTCACTGGACTGCACTGAAGCACTCCTTTTCAGCTATATATATTATAGGAGGGATTCTTGATTCCCCAGTAATCCCAGGAGAAAAATTAACTAGATGAGCACAGAATTGCAGTAGTTCTGCTCTGGCCTCATGATAATTGTTTTTCAATTCAACAAATTAAGTTAAAGATAAGCATTTGCTTCACATGCAAGACTCATTCCCGCTTCATTTGTAATATATGGAGAGGGATTAGCCACATCAAGCATATGCTTTCACATTGTGGTGTAAAGAATACACATGAGAAAAATCACGTTTAGCTCCAATGCACTGAGAAAACTGTTTATAGACAACATATTCAAGAGCAGAGAGAAAAAAAATGTTTTGATGATGATTCTTCATCAGATGCACCCAGTGGACACGTGTACACTGAAGAGCCTACACGGAGTCTGATGTGCTAAAACTGAGCACTACTGGGAGAGCTGTGCTCAAAGAAAACGTCTGCTTCTATAATCCCCACCACAGATAGCTGTGCCCACACCCTTACTTTCATTTCTTATTTGTTCCATTCACTACTGTTTATAACCTGAAAAACACATAAATTTATTTCTCTTCAAAGCACATGTATTTGCCCTACAAATGGACCAAAAATATGCAAAGACTACTTTGATTTTTATTATCTCACCTACATAAACATATCGATTTCCTCAACCCTACCAGGACAAAATAATATTTTCTTTTTATTGCATTCCAGAGGAAGTTGTGCCTTAACTTGGATCTTATTTAACTGCTATTTATCTACATCTCTGGCTTCAAACTCTGTCAGGAATCAAGCTACCACCTCTGTTTCTCTGGCACCCTTAATACCCAGTCTGTAAAGCCAACTTCTGCTGAATCAAAGACCAACGTTGTCATTGCAGATGAGAAAAAAAGCTTCCATAAATTAAAAATAAGGCTGCTTCATGGACATACCACCTTTTTGAAGAAAGTATAGATATGATCCAAAAAAGAGGTGTCAAGCATTATCCCTTATTCCAAAAAAAGTACAAACTTAATGTTTATTTTAAATCTCTTGTCAGAAAAGAAAGCATTAATATGAAATGCTTTAAACAGCCTTTGACACTTACAGAACTCTTAAAATGGCAATGAGTCAAAGATCAACAAGCCTTTAAGAATGAAAACAACTGGAAATGCTTTAGAAATGGAGCCATTGAAGTATTTTCATTGATTAAATGCCCACTGGTATTACATAAATATTGAGCACCAACGCATATAGTTTGATATTTCCTGATCTGGTAATTTCATGGCTTAAAAAGAGGAAGGTAACACCTGTACACTATACTACCTGAAATTTAGTCTCACTGAGTCAATGATAATTTTGCCATCAAAGGAATGTAGGTGTTCATTTTAAATATAGGAACTTAAATGAAAAACTTCTTTTTTTTTTTTTTTAAAAAAAAGGTTGATTTCATGTAAAAATGACATCTGTCACTCAAACCGCAACAACTTCATCCTTATGTCAGCTGTTGTACTCTTTTAATTCTTTATGTTCCTGTTGCTAAACTGAAATGGAAATGACCTAAAGGAGATAAGTTAACAGAAATGGAATAATTCTAAGTCAGGTTTCAAAATTAATACTTTTTGCCCATCTGTCCTTTAGCATGTTGTCCATTCCAGGTCCCAATCTCCCCTCGCCTCCGAGCCACTAGCAAGATAATACAGATGGTTACTGCAAAGCTGTTAAGACGTACATCTGAATGCATATTTATCCACTTGGCAAGATCCTGCTACAGCTGTAAGTCGATGCAAATCTGCATTACAATGTAGCTTCAGTCTCTTGCCTGCGTGAGAAAGCAGCCATGATATTAATCGTGCTGCGTAAGACAATGCCAGGCAAATAGGACGTAAATGAATGCAGTTGAGCTAGCTATCGCAGCACTGTTAATTTACCCCTCTGAAAACAAACACTCACTTGGGCAGGTGAAACAAGTGTATATCTACACCTACATCAAAACTCATTTTCATTTGTTTGTTTTTGGAAGCAGAAACTGATAACGCAAGATAACTCCGCCAGATGTCATGGTGAAAGAATACCATGTAGGTGAGTATTTGATACAATCACCAGAACAGAAAACCAAACTGAGGGTCTTTATTCCGTCGTAAGCACACTTTTAATAAATACAGGTGGCACTGCCAGTCAGTGATAGTTGCTTTTGTTCTGGGTATGTCTTTGTCCTGGCAGCTGGGAGGGAGAGCAGTTTTCATGTATAATGAAAGAAATGTACTTAATAGGCAACACCTGAAAATCCTTCAAGATAATGAACTATAGCAATAGAAAATGCAAGTTTAGAAAGCATTTCCTGAAAAAAAAAAAAAAAAAAGTAGCACTGGAATCTTCTCTTTATCTCAGGTCAATTGACTTGTCACAGTGGGAAGGAGATTTGAAAAGGAAATTGCAAGTTCCTAGCAAGTATGATTGGAGGAATTGAGTTAATAGCCAGCAATCAGTATAGGTTCCGTAGGGTACTTAAAAATTTAAATGTATGCATACGCCGCCACAACTACAGAATGCCTGAGCTTTGTCTTGTTTGTAAAAAACAAATGGAACAACAGGCAATTTAAATCTCAAACAAAAATGGTAATTTTTTACTTTGATTGCTGGGGTTTAAGTGTTCTTCCACTAAAAATTTCCCTCATTTCAGCATACGATTGTGGTATATAAATTGTAATTGCCTCTGATCTTGTTTTACACTAGTAATCCTCCCAGTACCAACAGGATCCTATATGGTATGTGCTTTCAGATGATACGGTTTCTCACCATATGGAAAGATGTTTTGTATCACTATGTTGGCAGCATATAAATGATTTTTGAACTCCATTTTCCATTGCCATTTCTTCAAGCCATTTAGGCACAAGAGCTTATTGTTTCACATGTCAAAAATTAAAAGACAGATAGTTTTCTGATTTGAGAAGCTGTTTTATCCACACTCTTGAATAATCACACACTATTCAGCAAGCCACAAATACAAATGAGCATAACAACACCTCTAACGAGGAAACAGCTTAATTTGAGAGGGCAGGATAAGCCACCATCTCTCTAAAGAAACGTGACTATATCCCAAAAACCTTCTTATCCTTTCTAATACAATGTACCACTTTTCTACACAGATTCTTTTCAAAAGAATTACAAAAGAAGGTCTCACCTAGACTACTAGTAGTTCCTCTTTCCAACCAAAGAAGGCAGATATTACAGGTTGCAGAAATTTGTGAGTGGATAAAAGGGAAAAAAATTATAGGACAGTGACAAATATAATGAATTTCATTTCCGCAAGCTTCTAATTCCTCTGAGGAAGAGAAGAACATAGGTTTTGCATGGTCTTCTTTAACAAACAAATGCATACCCTGCAATGAAGTAGCATGAGACAAGAGAATGCATTCCAAGCTAAATGCAAACTAGCCTTGCCTCTGAGGCATGGAAAGGACAGATCCTAGAAAGTACGGCATGGTTGGATGCCTGCATGCTAAAGAGACTAGTAATTTTAGATTAGTTGCTTTTTGCATTGTCTGAAAAACTTTTTATACTTACTGTAATTCTCTCATCTTTGTCATCTAGCGGGGTGCCATCTTTTTTCCATGATATAGTGGGTTCTGGGTGACCTCTTGGGGGCTGACATTCCATCACTGCAGGTTCACCCACGGCTACCATTACATCTGATGGATTTTGTCTGAAGTCATCCCGTAGAACTGAAAGAATAAAGAAAATTAAGCAAAAATTACCCAACAATACACCAATAGCACAACAAAGTGTTTTGTTTTGGCCTTTAATAGTCCCTGTTGTCATTGTGCTTTATATTAATGAGCAATTCGGTTGATGAATTTCAATTGGCATCTGTGGATGGTCTCTGGTACTTCCACACAGTGACACAGAAAACGCAGGTACAACTCATATTTAACTTCCAACGTAGAAGCTAAGTGACTTTTAACACAGCCAGAGGTGAAAGGCTAACACAGACATAGGACTGTCCACACAGAACAGCTGCCTCACTTGGTTGTATTTGTCTTAGCATCTGCCTAGCCTGTGAGCACAGGATTCCTATCACAGCTGAAGAAGGCACAACGTCTTCTGCTCAGGTAGAACGTCACCTGAGGAGGAGCCCGGCAGAGATTGCTTTCTGCCCCTCTTTTTCTGAGACACAAGGTCAGTCTGCCAATAACTCAAAGGCTTTTGGTTAAAGATTGGCCACTGGCCATATGAACTGCACCTATCTGTGAATTTATGGCAAAGATGAACAAACTAGCTAAACTTCCCAGTTCTTTGATGACATTATAAGATGCCAAACATTTGGCAGCTTTAGCCAAACTCATCTTTGCAATTTGGTTTGTGTTTTTTTCAAGAAAAAAAAAAAAATTCCTGACCTCTGGGAGCCACCCCTTAGCCTGAGCCGGGACCACATCCTTTATTTGGAAGAAGTCAATTTTACTACCTTTTCACAGAAGGAAACATTTTTATTGTGGCTTCATTACTAGAATTTGTTCTTTCTAATCATTTGGCCAAGCCCAGGCCTAGGAAACTCTAGTTCCCTCCAATCACCCACTATGAATTTTATCAATAGCTGTGTGATTATTTTTCTTTTTGGGAGAAGAGAGACATCATACTGTGCTCAGCAGACCACCACACAGCGACACAGTTAAACAGAATAATGGCATTCCTAAGCCTTGCCAAGTGAGTGGCATTAGGTTTAATCTAAAAATAAGTAACTCAAATGATAACAAATATAACATTCTAGTCCTCTCCGCTGCTGTTACACCATCCACACTGAACAAAGGATGTGGTAATGGAAAAATACATTACAACCAAAGGACTCTTAGGATTTTGACAAAGCTATCTGTCACTCCTGCTACCTGCAAGAACCTTGTGTCAACAGTAAATAGTGCCAAGAATCTGCAGCAAAAAAATTATCCCCCAAGCCATGGACCACAGATATATGGACACTCACTACTGAATAATGGTTTGGTTGTTAATGCTGCTTCAAAGCAAAGTGTGATTTATTGTTAGACATTAAGGAATGTGGGTGTGCTTACAGATTGGCAGGTACAGCACTGCCACCCAACCATTCCTCTGTGTAAGGTCTTTCACGCTGTTACGACCTTGTAAAATGGTCTGAGGGCAAATGGGTCATCTACTTTGGGACAGAAGGATATACCTTTCTCACACCTACTTTCTGCAATGCTATATAATCTAAAATGAAGGGAGGGAGCAAAAATGACTTGTAGTTCTTTGTTTTGGAGGATTATTGGCAAATAGCCCTGTCAATAATCAGTAGGACTATCTTCTATTTTTTCTTCTCAAGTACATCTACCTTACATTCTGATACCCTAGCATTCAGTAGCTACAGCCACAGGCCTATGTGTCCAGCTTGGCTCGTTATAACATAATACACAACAGGGAAAGTTCCCGATTGATATAGAATTGCAGATGGGAATCAAAAGCAATAAATACAGAATATTTTACCACTGTTCTAGAAACAGGAAATAATTTCTGGAAGTACCCAAACACATCTGTGCACCAACAAAACTGAAATATATTGCAGACCTCACCAGATATCATCTGAATTTACCAGTCCCCTTCCATACTGAAGCTCTAACATTCCAGATATTTCAGTTTAATTATTGAGGCTTCTGGATGCCCTGGAGTCAGAAGATACTGATGCACTGGAAGAGGATAATCAAGGATAAAATGCCTCTATCCCTTTAACAATACAAACTAATACAACAGAATGACAGGACTTAAGGAAGAAATTATAGAATAATTTAGGTTGAAAGGGACCTCTGGAGGTCAGCTAGTCTACAACAATGAGATACTGTTGGATGAACACGTTCTCTTGGATGAACTACATCTCTCAAACAGACCTAGTCTAGAAAGCATGTTCCATCTAAGAATGAAGAAATTCTCTCTCTAAGAACGAAATGGACTAGGGAAAATTGACAATGTTTTCCACTATAAAATTAATTCAGGTCACATCTAGAGGAAATAATATGTTTTCAGAAAGGGGAATGATGTAATTTTTAGTTAATCAGAAAGGTAAGTCAAAAGACCAATTCTTTAGCTTCCCTTCTGCTTTCAACAAAACTTCATTAAGTTTAACCTGCATTCTCTTACAGCTTCGTTACTACATTCCCCTAACTCCTGATGCATCAAAATTGGATACCTCAAATTATTTTGGTTATGGGAGCATTAATATACTACTTACATACACTGAAAAACTTATATATATATTTATTCCGTTTATACTGAATATAGCATTAATAACCAGATGCAACTTCTTGTGTTCCCAAGTAGCCCTCAAGCACAACTGGCTGGGCTGACACTGCTTCTGCTGAAGTCAAAGAATTTTTTCTATTTACTTTAATAAAGACTTGATCTGGCCTGGAGCCCCTGGTCATATTATTTTTTTTTTTTCCACTTCTCCAAACTAAAGAACATGAAAGAAGAAGAAACAGAAGTTGCACCAAGTGACCAAAGGGTCAAATTTCACCACATGCCCCTCTTTCTATATATACGCAGCCGGAATAAAAATATATAAATTAAGAGGATGCTTGCCTTTTTTTCTTTTTTTAACAAATTCAGTGTAGAATCTTCATAGATATAAAAAGCCCCTACATTTCCGACATACTGTGGGTAAGGTTTTCTAACATTTTACTCTAATATTTTCTAACACACAGTGAATAATGATTGTAATTGTCATCGCACAGCTAGGACAACTCCATGATCTTGCTGCGTGAACTCTGAACTCCTGTGTTTGTGCTGAAAACATTTTTATGCTATGCTTGCTGAACTAATCAGGTTCAAGAGCAACTTTTCTAACTCCACTTTAAAAGTCAACTACTCATACAACTATTTAAAATCATGTACTATTCAATCAATAAAGCAATTACACTTTCCCCAGAGAATCTTCCCAGAGCAGAAAGGAACTAGCAATCACTTGAGGATAAATTTTTATTGACAAGCAACGTAGAGACAGTATTTTTTGTGTAAACTTTAAACAGTACTTTTCAAAATGCAGCACCCAGTGTTTTTTTTCTTAAGTTCTTTATTGGCTACTATGACAAAGAGTAGGGAGTCATTACTGGGTGAAACGGGAGGTAGGTAGGCAGCGGGTTTTTGCATATACACACTGCAGATATTTAAGAAAGATTATTGTTAGAGTTTGTCATTAAATAACTGTGATCTAGTTCAAAGGCAATAAAGAAAGCCAAAGCAAAACACAAGAAAAAAGAAACCAACCAGAAAGCTTTAGTCAATAAGTGAAAAGAATGAATTTGTAAAGAACACACTAATTACCACCATACATTGTGGATATCATAACTAACAGGTCGTATCATTTAAGAGCTGGAAATAGGAAAATCTCCTGGAAATTTTCATTAAAGGTCTCTTCTAGTCAGACTGGCTAGACACTTCACGCTAGATCAGTTCAAAGCAGTGCATCAAAATATATCCAGGATCCCTTATCAAACAAGATATTACAGCCATGGTCAGCCGGTGAACAGAGGAAGAGAGGGAAATGAAGAAGTCTGGGGTGCAGTTTCATAATCAGATTAAGGCAATCTTAATCCATTTCAACTCTTCTAAAAGAGATCATCCAGACTTGCTTCCTGCTAACTCTCCTGCACTGCCCTGGACAAAGCACGCTGTTTTGCAAGGCTAGCTGTTGGAGTGAGATCAGGGAGCCAAAGTGTCACACAATTAGACAACCAAAGAGATCCCAACAATTTCCCTTCTTTCAGTATGAAGATAATGTAGATGTTTCTTTGTGTTGTAGCATATGCCTCAAAAATGTGGAGAAGTGAAATAAACAGAAGAAATGCTCGTTCCTCACACTGCTTTACAAAACAACCAGACATCAACTAACAAGTAAGTTTTGCTAACATCAAACTATGTGCTAAAGCTGAGCAATGCAACCCTACTAAAGGCCCACTGCCCTGCCTTTTGGCTAATTTTGTTGTAAAATCTCCATGTAATAGATTTTAATTTTTTTAATACCCACTAATTCTATTATTTTAATTCCTGTGAATTTATAACAAGTATTTCAACGTTTCTGTTCCCTTCCCCCAAACAAAACAACAGCATTACAAAGAAAGTTTCCATCTAATATGAGGAACAAAACAACGACAATGTGCACTTGCTGTAAAATGCTGTAAGATTAGGAAAATGAAAAATGGGATTCAGGAGGTTATATAAATGTTCTAATCCCATGAACCCACAATCAAAGAGAAACTAGACACATGGCCTACTAGTTTAACTCTCTCACAGCGTCAGCCCTCCTACGACACAGGACTTCCCTGACTACACAGTCTAAGAATTCGCATTGAACTCATTTCCAGATAGAAGAGACTGCTTCTTGTAAAGAGACTGATCATAAGGCGTAGTCAGATGTATGAAATAGCAGCAGTGAAATGAGATCACACTTCTAAAATGTTAACAAAATGTACTGCCTCAATTACTGTAACCTTTAAGTTGTTTTAAAATGTATTCTCTCCAAAGAGTAATGTTTTTGATTGATTGCTTTTTATACAGCACCACCAAACTGGGAGCTTAGTATCTACTGAAGGTCAAGCGCTACCCTCTCTGGGAAAAAAGTGTCATTCCCTATTATATTAAGCAATACATGTTAGCAAATACATGTGTACAACAACTGCATGCTTCTAAACCATTAATGTAGGAAAAAAAAAAAATCAAGGAGTGC